TCATGCAGGGAGAGTCCTCCCACTCTCCTCTGCACAACAAGGAACCCACAGGAGGGACCCAATAAATGCCAGATGCTTGACTGATTTCCTGGCGGGCAGAAAAAGGGTCACTTGGTTCCCATCAACTTTCATTTCACCTGCCAACCTCCAGCCCTGGAGATTTGGGCCATGGAGAAGTGAGGCCCCGGAGCTGCATAAAATACCTCCCTCAAGTCTCCTTGCCTAGACTGGTAGTCCATCATGCTCACTTTCCCCAGAACAGGAAGGCATTGCCCTGCCCACTAGGCCTCGATCCCTGCTGTGAACAACCCAGCCCTGCAAGCAACACTGGCTCAACCCGAGAACTGAACCTGGCCCAACAGCCAGAACCTGCTGAGTTCTTGATCACGGCCAAGGTCCAGGCTTGTGAAGTAGGTGACCTCTTTCAGCCCCAGAGGAGACTTCTTGACTGGGAGGTCCCTGATCACATGGACCAGGCCAAGGGTGCAGGGGAGATCCTCAGTGGCCTTGTGTGTCTGAATTCAAGTCCTGACTCAAGTAAAATTCACTATGTAAGGTTGTTGGTCGGGTCACATGATTTTCTAAGCCTCAAGTTTCCTTCTCTGCAAAATGAGCACAACCACAGCCATCTGATAGTAATGAGACTTAAACAAGGCACACAACAGTGTGGTGAGGAAGAGTCATACTCCCTGGGTTCAAACCCTGGCTCTGCCATGGGACAGTGGGGAAAGGACCTAACTTCTCTGTGCCTCAGTTTCCTCACCTGTAAAACAGGGAAAATGAGCTCTTACCTCCTCACATCATGGTTGGGAAGATTACATGAGTTAATATATGAACCAAAAACTCCAACTCACTGCCATCACGTTGATTCTGACTCATAGCAACCCCCACTGGGTGTCCGAGGTGGTAACTGTTTACAGAAATAGATTGCCCCATCTTCCTTCTGCAGAGCAGCTGGTGGGTTTGAACCGCCAACCTTCTGGTTAGCAGTCCAATGTGTTAGGCACTACACCACCAGAGCTCTTTAATATATATAAAGCACTTGTCATCTTAGTTACCATAGCAGACATTAGCTATTACAGGCAGTCCTCGATTTATAGCAGGGCTCCATTCTGATGACTCTGTCTTAAGTTGGTTCTGACGTAAGTTGAATACCTCTGACATAAGTCAAATACCTCTTGTTTTGTTGTTGTTGTTATTATTATTATTGCCTTTTATTATCAATATCTTTATAAATCTGATCTTTATTATAGTCTTTGGAGGTTGGCATGAGAATGATAAAGTCAGCAAATTACACACTGCAACACTGTATGTAGTGCTTATTTCTAAAGATAAGATGTAAAAAAAAAAAGGCCTGTCATAAGTTTGGTTCATTGTAACCTTAGTTTGTTGTAAATCAGGGACTACTTGCATTAGAGTTGTTAACTTGGCATGTAGTGCCCACTACATGGTGTATCAATTACTAACTCAGTGGTTAGGAGTTGGGCACTGAAGTCAGACAGCTGCAATTTGAGTCTCAGCAACATCATGCATTAGCTGTGTGACCTTGTATAAGTTACATCACGTCTCTGTGCCTTGTTTAGAAAATATGGTTCATAACATTGCCTACCTTGTCTAGTTCTGAAGCATAAAGGAGTTAACCAAGGTAAAGTGCTGGCACATAGAAAGCACTAAGTATCATTTGATTAATACATAATATAATTACATTATTAATATTCCAATGCAGGGGTAAGCAAGTGGGTATTTACTGAGCACATACTACATACCAGCACTTCACATGAATCATCTCACAAGGATACCATAGGATAAGCACTGTTGTTGTTGGGTGTCACGGTTGTCAGCTGACTCATAGTGAACCCATGTACAAGAGAACAAAACACTGCCTGGTTCTGTGTCATCCTCACAGTCCTTGCTATACCTGAGCCCATTGTTGCAGTCATTGTATCAATCTATCTCGTTGAGGGCCTTCCCCTTTTTCATGGACTTTCAAGTATAAGCACTAGGTTTCTGCACTTTCAGAGGAGGAAAGTGGACTCTTGAGTGTGCCAGTCAGCTGTCTGGGAGCCCACAGGTGGTGAGGGCAAGTGGCTCAGCTGGGTAACATGTAGGGCACATGGTCTTGTTTGTTACTTCCTCTAAATCCCACAGCAACCCCAGCGGGGTGTATTCTTATCCCAATTATACACACAGGGCCTGAGGCTGAAGGAGATTTCTCCCAGTTCTCACAGCTATTAAGTAGTGGAGCCAGATTCAAATCCAGTGGTTTGTCCAAATTCTGCTTAAGCAGGTATTTTGGTCACAGTTGCAGACAGACTTCCACAAGCCTTTATCTATGGCTATAAAACCCAAGTAGAAGACTGACCACTGTGAACTATTCAAGACCTGGGGCCACAGCGAAGCCTCTTCCAGGCTCCTGGGAGCAGGCTAACAGGCACCTCCAAGGAGACCCCCGGAACACACCGAGAGAGACAAAGACCATCAACACCCAAAGGAATCATTGTTACCCAGAAATCTTTATTACAAAAATATTTTGCAAGCCAAAAAGTTTAAGTTGCAACTATATACAAAATGGGGCCTGTTTCCTTCCCAGCAGTCTTAAAATAAACTCCCTAAACCACGCTCCTTCCGCAGCGTCCTTTCAACCTCTTCCTTTTCCTGGGGTTCAATACACAAGGTGTGGGGAACCTCCAGGCTGCCAGGCTGAATGAAACTAAAGCTATGCGTCTTCCTTGGCCTCGTTCCCTTACTCCCCCTCCAAAATTAAAATAAAGTCAAAGAAAAATGGCACCAAGGAAACATTCTTTTAAAATTCTTTGTGTGTGTGTGTATGCGAGCATATGTAGGTATGTGTGTGTAAGTATGTACAGAAATGTACGTTGTGTATGTTTGTATGCATGTCTGTACACGTGTGTGTGTATGTATGTGTGTGCACATGTGCATGTGCTGTCTCTGGGCAGAAGAAAGGGACACCAAGGTTTACAAGCCAACCTTTTGGAATTGGAAATGACAGGAGCCAGGTGGTTGGGCCACTGTGGCTCCCAGATGCCACAGAGGAGCTCTGGCTTGTCAGATCTGCCCACACCATATGTTGGCTCAGTTAACTCCTGGATGCCATCATGTAAAATGCCAAGCCACCATCCCCCAGAGAGCTTGGGTCTGTGCTGAGCTCCTCAAATTCCATCTGTAGGATGTGCTGACACACTGGATCACCCAGCCTCTTACTTTGACAGGCTGGGCCAGGAATCCCTTGGGCACTGAGCACCTAGACCAACCAAGGGGGCCATGAGTATTAGCATTTTAACTCTACGAGTTGATCAGTTACAATGAAAGACCAAGTGAACAGGGCTGGCCTGCTCTGGGTCCAGCTAGGCCCTCATACCTTTTGGGGCACTGGCTCCCTGAACTGGAAGGAGTCACCACCTCTGTCAAACCTCCTGAGATGGAGGGACAGAGGGCAGAACCACCTTGGCTTCACAGCTGCTCAGTCCTCCTGGATGTCTTCGACTTATTCCAGTTTGATCCCGAGAGGCTTTGAGAGCAGAAATGGGAGATTCTTCTTTCAGGGATCAGCTCAGAGAGCTGGGATGGGGAAGATTGCTGAAGGGGGTGGGGGTGGGGGAACAGCCAGGCTCAGCTTCCCCACCCTGCAGATTCCTAAAGTGCTTGTGAGAGATGGTGGGGAGAGATGTCATCTTTCCTCTCCCCATTCTACAGATGAGCAGACTGAGGCATTAGGTCTCGACAAGACTGCACCACTAAGGAGGTGGCCAGGAGAAGCAGAGGCAGATCGGGACTTACCAAGTGGGGTCACGGCAGGCAGGAATACCAGCCACATGGCTCCAACGGGAACATGGTCAATTTTGTCCTGGACAGAAGGGCTGAGTGTCTCCACGGGGCAGCCAAACTGTCCCTTCTTCCCCCATCCTGAGGGCTCTGAGACTTGGTGGAATTCAGTTTCTGCTGTAAGAAAATCCTTTCAGGACAACAAACTGTTAAACCTTAGACTTCACAAGAAGACCCAACCATGTACTTCAACGTATGACAAAGAGCCAAGATAACAGCGCTGTTGTCTTAAGAAGAAGGAAAAAAAAAAAAAAAAAAAAAAAAAAAAAAAAAAAAAAAAAAAAAAAAACACAGAAAAAAAAAAAAAAAAAAAAAACCCAAAACACCACAGATCAAAATTTCTAACACCTCAGTTTCAAGATTGCACGTTTCACATTTCTCAATAATTTACAGGTGTCCACAGCGACAGGTTGTGAATTAGTACTAGCTGGAGGAGGCAAGCTGGGCTAGAGAGGAGAGGTGGGTCCGTGTAGAGTGTCATAGTTGGAATGATGGGTCCTCGAGGAAGCTCGGAGGGGCACGAGGAGGAAGAGGAGAAGAAGGAGGGGGTTTTTGTCCTATTGTCCTTTAAGGGGTGTTCCCTCCAGCCCCAGGCCTTGTGGTTCATCAGCCCAGGGATGGCAAAGACCAGGACTATTGGTAGCAACCTCACCAAGGCTCTGGATGCAGGTCCCAGAGTTCTTGTCCAGCTTCTCCATGGATGGGGCAGTTTGGTCTGACAGGAAAGCTTTTTTGCAAAAGCCCCGGTTGGGTGGTGGTGGTGGGGGAGGAGGTGGAATCTCCTCCCTCCTCACTCTGGCAGATCAGGCTGTGGAGCGTCAAGGAGGCAGTCAAGGGTCTCCAAGACCATGATCTAGACCCAGGCGTTGGTGGAGCAGAGAGGCACGAGAGTTCTTGGGCCCCAGGCTATTATGGCCCGTCCCCAGGTCAGCTCCTCAGCTGGCTTGGCAACACCAGCCTCTATGTGTGGGAACACAGGGTGTTGTGGTGGCCCTGGAAGTGCTGGAGAGCCAAGGAGGCTGGGGAAACAAGAGCCACCTTCACCCCTGGGTCCCAGGGCCTGGCCATCCCGGCCCTCCAGGGACTGGGCTGCTCCCTCATCATGGCGGCTCCATGGAAGCTCGTGGGGAACGGCCCTAAGATGACTGAGGGCCCATTCACTTCCTCTGGACCTGGACGCTGGCGTACTCTGAGAAGGAGGGCTCAGGCTTGGGGGTGGGCTGCTTGGAGGCCCGGTTGAGGTGCACCATGTCCAGGTCGGCGTAGGTGAGGGTGTCCTCTGGTCCAGGTGGCGGGCCAGTCTGGATACTGGCATACTCCGTGTGATTGTTGGGTTCAGCGGCCCGGGGCGCAGATTTCTTCCCCTTGGGCAGGTTCAGGTCTGCATAGGTGATGTCGTTTGTATCCTGGATCTAAAGGAGACAGAGAGGGTCATTCTCTCACCGGCCAATTGGGTATTAGGTCTTGAGGCTCTGTTTCCTCCTGGCCCCTTAAGGCCCAGCCCTAATTCAGGCACCCTTTTCCCTTGCCAAGCTTGTCCTACCAAACTCCTTCCTGGTCTTCCTTCCTGCAGTCTTACCCTCTCCATGCCACCTTCCTCCCCATGGTCTGAAGGAGCTTCCTAAATGCCAGTATGGTCATGACACAGACCTACTCCTCTCCTCCTAGCCGGGGCCACCTGCAATTCTCTCTGCCTTTCCCAATGCTGTTCCTTCTTCCTGGAGCATTCATCCATCTCCTTCTCCATGTGGCAAATCCCAATGCACCCTGCAAACCGCAGGTCAAGCATCACTTCTTGCAGGGCCTTCTCCTACCTCACCTCTCCTAGCTGGGTCCAGGGCTCCTTCTCTGAGTTCCCTCAGTCCAATTTCTCCACCATGGCACCCATCACCCAAGACTGTGAGAGTCTGTCTGGGGGCCTGACTGGATGCTGAGCTCTTAGTGGCTGAGGCAGTCATTCATTTGCTCATTCACTCCACACATATTCACCAGGCATCTATCACAGTGGAGAAACCAAGGCTGCACAGGAGATGCCTGATCCATGTTGAATGAATGAATGGTAACCACGTCAGCTGGGGGATTTCAGTGGTCTTAGGGTGGAACTGGGGACTGTGAGGCAGAGAACAGGGTCCGTGTAAGAATGAGACCATCGGTTAGTAGGTGACACAGGTTCTAGAGTCAGATGGTTTGGCAGTGCCTTCTCTCACCAAAGGACTTTGGGCAATTCACTTAACTTCTCTGAACCTTGGTTTCTCCCATCTGTGAAGTGGGGATAATAATAATATCTATCACAAGGATTGCTGTGAACATTGAATGAGATTAACCAGCTAACCCTCTTAGAACAGAGCCTGGTAAATAGTGACAGCTCAATAAGTATGATGGATCATCAACTTCATAGCAAACTTATCACCCACAGGTGCTGCCTTAAAATGACACATCATGAAGTATAAACTCTGTGGCACCTGAGCTACAGATGTGGTGTGAAGGTACCAACAACAATCACAGATCACACTTGGTGCACAGTAACAACCACAGCTCAGTCACTCAGGGCTGATAAGTACCACGCTTTCACGCTCACCACCTCATTGAGGCTGTACCACAACCCTGCTGGGTAGGAATTACTGACCCTATTTCACAGGTGAACAAACTGAAACCCAGGGAGGTAAAATAATTTGGTGAAAGTCACAAAAGTAGCAAAGAGCCAGAGATGCTGGACTGAAAAACTGTGCCTTCCCACAGAGCTCCTGTCCCGGACCCTTTGCACTCCCTTTCTCCCTCCCTCCTCACACAGTGCCGCAACATTCCACTCCCTCCCAGGCAAGGGCTGGCGTTTGGCCTTGGGAATCAGAGACACAGAACCACAGCTCCAAAGAGCTCACGGCACAGGGCCGGCACATAGTAGGTGCTCAGTAAATCTTTGCGGAATGTGAAATTTCTACAGGTTTCAGTAACTGACTCTCACCATTACCCTTTCCCCAGAAAGTTCCAGAGGGAAATCCAGAAGTAAAATGACTGGGAAGAAAGCATCCCTCTCTCACCACTGGAAATCATCGTGTTTTTCCTAATTATGACCTGAGCTCGCGCCTGGGAGGCCAGGACTGAAGGCTGTTGTTGGGTGGCACCGGGTCAGGAGAGCTGGCCATGGTGTTCTGGCTGATGAAGAGCCCTGTTTTCACCAGCCTGACTCCCTTCCACAGATCAAATCTCAAATGATGACAACTGCCTGGAAGATGTCAAGGACAGCTGACACTCTCGTTCCTGGGGTCAGAGCAGGGCCGGTGTCATTACAAGACACCAAGGAGCCCTTGGCCTTCAAGGTCTGACAGCATCAGCTGGTGATAAGCAGGGCTAAGTTACTCGGAAACAGGCCAACCATGTTGTCTGAGAAATCTCCTCAGCTGGAGGGAGTGTGTCCTTGCATGAGGTAATTAATGACACAGTCTTCCTATAGGCAAAGACTACAGACTCTGACAGTGCTGGGTTACGACTCTGTGTGAGATGGGCTGCAGGGAGGAACTGGGGGAGCTAGGGAGGGTGTTCCTAGTGGAGGATCTGGACCAGTGAATACATTGAGACAGGAAGGCACAATCCACCTAAACGGCGGGCTGCAGCCTGACTCCAGGGCCCCATTTACATAGAACACACTGTGAACTGTGGCCCCTGGAGTGGTACAACGGGTGGCACCGTGGTGAGGAGCCCACAGCAGACTCCTTTGCTGGCTGGAACAAAGAGAGGGAGTGTGTGAGGACAAGGGGCGGAGATCTGGAATGTAAGGGGAACATGTCTTAATTTAGAACAGGATCTGCAACTCTGGCTGCTCTGAAGAAATCACACCATCTAGGTTCCCGGGAAGGGAGTCTCACCAAGGACTGTACCTGGGTTACTTCTCTGGCATTCTTCTCGGGCTCATGCAACCTAAAAAAGAGAGGCTCAGATAAAATTATCCTCCCTATCTCAAGTGCTTATACAAACTTGTTAAGAATAACATTCACGTTCCACTTCCTTTATGGGTAAGGAGCTCTGGTGGTACAAGGCCTAAGGCTTTGGACTGCAAACCAAAAGGTTGGCTGGTTCAAACCCACCAGTTGCTCTACGGAAGGGAGGTGAAGCAAACCATTTCCATGAAGATTTACTGCTTGGAAACCCAATGGGGAAGTCGCTGTGAGTCAGAGTTGGCTCAAGGCAGTGGGTTTTTTTTTTACTTTATGAGTGGAGGACATGGATGAACAATTCAAACAAGAAATTAGCCGCTTATCAAATGTGTGGCCAAAAGGGTCCATCTCAGTAACAAGGAGTTTTAAACAACAAACTACCATTTTTCTACCTACTATGTCAGTGCCTAGGAGCTCTGGTAGCATAGTGCCTGGGCACTTGACTGCTAACCAGAAGGCTGGCGGTTCAAATCCACCAGCCACTCCTCGGAAAGAAGACTAGGCAATCTACTTCCATAGTGATACCGCCTCGTCAACCTAAGGAGGGATAGCTATGAGTCGAGGCCGACTCGACGACACATAACAACAACAACAACATGTCAGTGCCTAAAGCATTTGACTGCTAACCAGGTTGGTGGTTTAAACTCACCAGAGTAGAGGGAAGATGGGGCAATCCACTTTCGTAAAGATTTACCACCTTGTGCCCAAAATCATGTACATAGTAGCTTATCATCAAAGACTAATTATTCTTTGCTCTATCCATGGTCTATAGGATTATGCATTAATTTCAGACATAAAAATAGCCATAGGTGTGTTATGGTATCTTTATGTTAATCTTACTGTAACTGTTGCTCTTATCAGTATATAAATATATGTTTATCACTTAGAATCATTTCACAATAAAAGTATTTTATCTGATAATAATAATAAAAAAAGATTTACCACCTCAGAAACCCAACAGAGGTCATTATGAGTCGGACTTGACTTGATGACAGTGAGTTTGGTTTTGGTTTTTGGTTATGTCAGCAAGAATCTTTTTTAAAAAAATCCTAACACTCAGTGCTGGGGAAGGTGTGGTGAAACTAGCACTTTCATACATTGTTGATGGGAGAAACAAACCTGTACAACCCTTTAGGAAAGCAGCTTGGCAACACCGCTCAAGAGCTTGAAAAGTGCCTTCAGCTTTTGACTCACCATTGCTTCTTTTTATTTTTTAAACCAAAATACAGAAAAAGCTGTACGTGCAAAGACATTTGTCACTGGAGTGTTTACATCTTACAGCTCTGCCAATTGGGAATGGTTAAGGAAAGGAGTGTGGACTTACAGATTTAAAAGGCTTCTGAGGAGATTTTTCTTATTACAAATGATTATATTAAAGTGGTAAGTGAAAAAGCAAAATTCTCTGTGGAAAGATTTCAATCATGAAAAATGTACAGACAACACTGGAAGGAAATGCAAAGAGCATTTTTAGGTTTTTAGGTGGCATATTTTTTCCTTTCTAGTTTCCCATATCCTCCAAATGTTCAACGTTATAAACATTTATGTATTATCATTTAAAAAAAAAAAAAAAGTCAACAACGACCCTCTTGTCTAATCAGGGGCCAGTTCATGCACTTGATTCTGTAACTGGAGGCTGGGCTTGGCTGACTTGTGGCATCAGTGTGGTAAGCAAACTCACACCACTGGTTCTGTAGGAGCCATCCGTTTCTCAAGCCAGTGACTCAGGGATGTGAGCCTGGATAATGTAAAAATTGAGCAATGGGGCTTGGAAGCAGGTTATTAATGGACTTGGCATGAGTGTTTGCCTGAGAAAGCAGTTCTGGGGCATGACAAGCTCCACATGGCCAGAGAGAAAGCCAATCAGGAGAGACATGTCTTGGGGGGGGGGATCACACAGATCTACCCACACCCCACCAGCTTCAAACACTTCCAACGTTCAAGTCCAGCTCCTCTCTGGGGCAAGTCCAACTCCTGGCACTGCTCATAAGCTCCCTGTGGTCTGGTCTCAGGTAATTCACTCCTCCACCTCGCTACCCACTGGATATTTAGTGAGGACTGCGCGCTTTATGCTTTAGTACCTGCTTGGGTTGACCTTGGCCACTTTTACTCTTAATTAACTCCCATTTATCCTTCAAGACTCAACTATGGCATTGCCCACCTGAGAACTTCTCTGGCAGTGCTGGGCTGGCTGGGATGCCCCTCCATTTTTATATCTGGTTTTTATGTCTGCCTGCCTGCCATGTTTTCTCACCAAATGGGGACAGGTGCTCAAGAAGTGACTTAGAATGAATGCCCAGGGCCTTTGCACCCTCAGTCTCCCCCACCTCTTCATCTGCTTCACTCCATCTCTTTTCTCAGATCCTGTTTTAAAGAGTCCTTTCTCAGGACATCTTCACTTGAAGCCCCAAACTCTACTGCAGCACACTGGGTTCCTATCAGAACAGTATTTCAGACTGTGACCCATTATCCATTTTCCAGGTCTGTCCCTTCCCCAGTCTTCCCTATCTCGGTGAGTGGCATTGCCATGACCCATCTCTGTGCTCAGCCTCAAGAAATGGGATCATCCCTGAGTCGTCTTTTTGCCCATGTACAACCCATGTCTAATCCACCCCAACGCTCACCAGTGCTGCATGCAAAATATGTATGGAATCCCACCACCCTGTCATTGTCACTATGCATTTCCACGGACCAACGCCCTAAAGATCCTCCTCTCTGGTCTTCCTGCTTCTATCCCTGCCCCTCTGCCTTCCTCTGACCTAAGTGATGACACAGGAGCTCTGGTGGTGTAGTGGTTAAGGCATTTGGCTGCTAACCAAAAGGTCAGTGGTTTGAAGTCACCAGTTGCTCTGTAGAAGAAAGATGAAGCAGTTTGCTTCCATAAAGATTTACAACCTTGGAAACCCAATGAGGGTCATTACGAGTTGGAGTCGACCCCATGGCAGTGAGTTTGGTTTTGTTTTTTGGAAGTGATGACTCATCATATTCTGCTCAAAACCCTCAATCCTTTCTCACCACACAGTGGAATCCAACTCTATACCATAATTGGCCAGGCTGTGCATGACCTAACCTGCCAACTGCTTTAGTCTCTCTCTCTTCCTCACTCCACTCAGGCTGCCCTGCCACTGCTATTCTCAAAGGGCTTGATAAACATATCCAACTGCTGCCATCGTTGGCTCTGGGCATCCGCTCTTCCCTTGGCCTGGTTTACTCTTGCCCTAGAACTCCTTGCGGCTAGAGACTGCTCATCCTTCTATTATCTTCTAAATGTCACCTCTGTAGACTAGCCTTCCCCTCCCCCCATCCCTGCTCTGCTCCATCCCCTTATCTGGCTCTATTTTATTTGGTCAGCACCTCCGTTACATCATTTGTGAACCTCCCAGCTTGTGTGGTGACCTGCCCCCACACTGCACCATGAGCGCCATGGGGGCAGGAACTCTCAAGGAACCTGAGAATGGAGTTTGAGGGATGGTGTTCTAAGAATGGAGTTTGGGTGTTCATTCAGTAAAGGGTTCTTGAGAAAGGACTGTTTAAAACAGGATCTGAAGGAAGAGATGGAGTAAGGTACATGAAGAGGCAAGGAAGACTGAAGATGCAAAAGCCCTGAGAAGTCGGACTGGCATTCATTCCAAGTAACCCTCGAGTACCTGGTCCCATGTGATGAGGAGGAAGCATGACAGAGAGACAGACACATAAACCAGATATGAAAATATGCAAGGTGGTCTGGGATTGCCACAGAGGGGTATCCCAGCCAGTCAGCACTATCAGATAAGTTTTCCCAAAGGGGTGACATGATAGTTAAGTCCACCCCTGAACCCAAGCACCTAGTATCAGACTAGCACAAGGCTAAACCCCCAAAAACCGCACTGCCATTGAGTCGATTCTGACTCTAGTGACCCTCATTGGGTTTCCAAGGTGGCAGATCTTTATGGAAGTAGATTGATGCATCTTCCTTCCACGGAATGGCTGGTGGGTTTGAACCACCAACCTTCTGGTTAGCAGTCAAATGTCTTAGGCACCATGCCACCAGCACTCCTTAGCACAAGGCTGGCACTCTATAAATATTTGTTAACTGAATGACTGAATGAGTATCTCTCCCATTGTATCATGGGTGCCATGAGACCAGGGCTGGAGCCTTCTTTGTTCCCCTCTGCATTCCCCCAGCTCAAGGCCTGGCACTGAGCTAGGCTAATCCAGATTAATAAATGACAGAACCAGGGAAGCCCTAAATATTCCAAGAATAAGCACAGTGAATGCCTGACAAGTGAACGAATGGATGATTGAATGCGCCCCAGTGCCCAATTAAGGGAGCAGAGACACATTTTTCTCCTGTCTGAGCCAGGGAAGATTACAGACAATGTTCTGCCTGTATGTTCCTAACCCAGGGAGTTAGCAATCGCCAATTCCTCCCCGTCCCCCTGCAACCGGAAAGGCCCTTTGAGCTCAAAGCAGCAGCATTCCCCCTGGCACCCCGTGATGGGTGGGCTCAGCTGTTACCAACGCCAGCTTCCTTTGGAAAGCATCTGATCCCTACACGCTGAAGCTGAAGCTGGTCTCCGAGAGGGAACCCCACCATTCCTGCTCACTAGCTATGGCTTTGGTTTAGAGAGATGAAAGGGAACAAGCGCTCGCCCGGCTCCCCTGGTAGGCTCATGTTGGAAAAATAAAAAACAGGCCAAAAACGGCTGGCTTCTCTGGGGAAGATGAAATAGGCAACATGCGGCATCTGAGTGAGCCGTGATGAAAAACACCAGCTTTAGTGTCAGAAGAATCAGGTCGGAATTGTAGTTTGGAGCTTTCAACACTTACTGTGGCAAGGCCTTGAGAACACAGGACTACCCCAAGCCTCAATTTCCTCAGCCTTCCAATGGGGATATTAATAAACTTCTGGGAGTCCTTGTGTGACATGAATGGTTAAGTGATGGACTACGAGCTGAAAGGTTGACAGTGCCTCAGAAGACAGGCTGGTGCCTCAGAAGACAGGCCTGTGACTTCTTCCAAAAGGTCACAACCTTGAAAAGCCTCTGCAGCATTTCTACTTCGCATGCCAGGGGTCACCGTGAGTTGGAATTAACTTGATGGCAATGAACTACAACAACAAGCTCCGGAATGGGGGTGCTCAAAGTGTGGCCTCTGTAGCACCAGTCCTACCCAGCACCTTGTTGGAAATACACATTCAGAATCAGAAACTCTGGGGTGAAGCCCAGTCATCTGTGTGTGAACAAGTCCTCCAGGTGGTTCTGTGACCCACGACCCACTCAAGACTGAGAACCACTGCTGTATGAAATAGGGATAATGAGAAGTCAGGGTTTCTTGTGATAATTGAAGGACAAATGGGTTAATGTAAGTAAAGACATAGATCAGTGACTGGCACATAGTACATGCTCAATAAATGTTGCTGCAATTGTTCTGTTTTGGACATCACTTTGAAGGCTAGAGTGCCTGACCCAAACCGTGGTATTTTCAATCACCTCATATGCATGTGAAAGCTGGGCAATGAATAAGGGAGACTGAAGAACAATTGATGCCTTTGAATGGTGGTGTTGGGGAAGAATACTGAAAATATCATGGACCGCCAGAAAAAGGAACAAACCTTTCCTGGAAGGAGTGCAGCTGGAATGCTCCTTAGAAACAAGAATGACCAGACTTCATCTCAGCTACTTTGGTCATGTTGTCAGAAGGCACCAGTCCCCGCAGAAGGATGTCAGGCTTGGTAAAGCAGAAGGTCAGAGAAAAAAGGGAAGGCCCCTAATGAGATGGACTGGCACAGTGGCTCCAACAACGGGCTCAAGCACAGTAGGGACTGTGAGGCTGGCACAGGACTGGGCAGTGGTCCGTTCTGTTGTACACAGGGTTGCTATGAGCAGTAACTGACTCTACGGCACCTAACAAGAGCAACAAGCTGCTATTGTTATTATTATGGACACTACATTTTTTTCCCCCCAGGAATCTACTGTCTAACTGGGGAGATAAGACAAGTAAAAAAATAACAACACTGACAAGAACAAAAATAAAACAAATGAGAGATTCTTTCATGTTTGGGCTATGAAGCCACCAAGAGGGAAATTCAAGAATGAAGACAATAGGGAGTGCTGCAGTGGTGTGGGATGGTGTCCACTGATTCATTCATTCACCAAACTTTTACTGAGCACTATTCCATTCCAATGGCGCTCTGGTGGTGTAGTAGATAAGACATTTGGCTGCTAATCAGAAGGTCAGCAGTTCAAACCCAACAGCTGCTCTGCAGAAGGAACATGAAGCAATCTACTTCTGTAAACATTTACAGCCTCAGAAATCTAATGGGGGTCACTATGAGTTGGAATCAGCTCGATGACATTGAGTTTGATTTTGTTTTGGGTTTATTCCATTCCAGGCAACACTGTCAGGTCTAACGGATATAGCAGTGAATGTCAGGGAATGGCCCCTGCCCTCAGAAGGGGTGGTGACTGCTGTCTTGGGAACTATGGAGGTCCTGGGTGGTATGTGAGCTGAGTGGGAACGAACCTCAGGGAGAGGCCAGTGTGGAGGGCCAGGAGGCAAGCAGGCCCAGGGAGGAGAGTGCAACGTGGCTGAGCCTTGGAATCCCGGACTAGGGAGGGGCCGCTAGGGGACTGTTGGTCAGCGGTGCTGGGCCAGGGGGTGGTGTAGAGGGCTTGGTTAAGGAGATGGGACTTTTTCTTGAGACACCTGGGGAGCTACTGAAGGCTTAGGGAGAAGATGGAAGTTGAGCCTTGCCCTTGGAACCCAAGGTACCTGCATATGAGGGATGCAGTGAGCAAAGGCACGGCCAGAGGAATGTCTGTCCTGGGAGGCATGGAGAGCCTGCTTTACTGGGTGGGACAAGGGATCTGCCTAGTCAGGGGGTGATAGAGGAGCAGGCTGGGAGGGTGGGCAGGGCTCCAACAGGAAGCTACCATGGAGGCAAGAGCAGGACGCCAGGCTTTGTCCCAGGGGTGCCATGGAGTAAGACATGAGCAGAGTAAGACTTGAGCCGGGTCCCAGAGCCCCTCAGGCAGGTCCAGTGCTGCTGTTCTACCAGATGCCCTGCCCTTCCCCATCACCACATCCATCATGCCTCCTCCCCTTCAGGACATGGCCCCCCAACTGACCCCAACCTGGAGACTGTCCTTGATCCTCCACCCAATCCATTAGCAAGTCCTCTTGGCTCTACCTTCAAAATATGTCAGAACCTGACCACTTCTAACCCTGCCCACTCCCTTCGCCCCCTGGTCCAGGCCACTGTCCTCTCTGGCTTGGACCACTGCAGCCACCTCTCACTGGTCTCTGCTTCCCCTCATCTCTAATGGGTCTCCACATAAGCAGGCAGGTGACCTGTTTAAGACAAAGTCGGATCATGTCCCTCCTGCAGCTTCAGTTCCCACTCAGAGTAAACCCAGAGTCCTTCTAATGGCCACAGACTACTGGCATTTTCTATAGTCCCTCAGTCCTGATATGCGCTCTGACACCACAGAGCTCTAAAACCACGAAAGATTCCCTAATCCCATCTGATGGCAAACCTGGGCTGAACAGATGCAAAGCTATTTAGTTTTTACCTATGAGTATATGTTCCTATATTTCTGTGCAGATATATCAACATGCTAGATTACGGGGTATGGCCCCTACCCTGCTGGGGGTGAACAGACACCTTCGTGAAATGCAAAGTCTGAATTAGTAGCACATCTGGCTGCAAGGGCTTCAGGTAAGAGACCATGCACCTGCGTCTCCTCACCTCATATCCTCCCCTCCCCTCCTCCCTGCTCCAGCTACACGGATCTTCTCCCTGTTCCTCATGTGCACCCCCACACCCTCTCCAGGGCCTCTGCAGTGGCTGCTTCCTCACCCGGCATGGTCTTCCCCATCATAGCTCCCTAGGTCCCTGCCCCCATCCCTCTTCAGAGGAGGCCTTCCTCCCCTACCTAAGATCTCAGCCTCCCATTAACCTATACCCCCTTACCATGTCTGATCCTTCCTTACAGCACCAGGCCCCCCAACATGACATTCCATAGTGCTTTGTTTCTGTGTTCTTGGCTGCTTCCCTCACTAATGCCTGAACCCCGTGTAGGCCTGGGCTGTGTCTGTTCTCTGCTGAGTCCCCAGAACCCACACAGAGCTGGCACACAGTACCATCTAACCCACTGCCATCGAGTTGGATCCAACTCATAGCGACTCTTCCTTGGGTTTCTGAGGTGGTATCACTACAGAAGTAGATTGCCCAGTCTTCCTTCTGAGGGTGGCTGTGGGTTTGAACCTCCAGCCCTCCGGTTAGCAGTCAAATGCCTTAGGCACTACACCACCAGAGCTCCTAATAGAATGCAGTATATGATTCAGAGCTTAGGGAAAAGTAAGTCTTTAATAATGGTAACTACCAAGCTCAAGCAAGCTCACTGCCGTGGAGTTGGATCCAACTCAAAGCGACCCCTCCTTAGGTTTCTGAGGCGGCATCTGTTTGGAAGTAGATTGCCCAACCTTCCTTCCAGGGAGTGGCTGGTGGCACATAGTAGGGACTCGAAATAATTCCCGCAAACATCAATCAACAAACGAACGCACCGTCTGTCATGTCACGAAATCACCTGAACTCCCGAGTAGCTGTGAGCTTCGGGAAATCAGATGCTCTCAATCTTACTCGTCATCGCATTCCCAGGACCAACCGATGCCAGGGACTCAATATTTACAGAATCAAGGAAAGAGCAAACTCAGGCCTGGGGACGATGAGCGTGGGGTGTGTGCAGGACGTCTGGGAGGGGAAGAAGCTTAGGAGGCTTCTGTCACTGACCAGAAGGGATTTGATGATTAGGGCCTGGCCGTCCAGGGACAGCAGGCAAGAACTCAATGCCTCCCACCAAATCAAGAATTAAAACCCGTCCTGGCAAGAGGAGATTACAATGACAAGGAACAAAAGTGTTGCATGGCACAGAAGTGAGGGTCAGTGGTATGGACTATGCTTTGCATGTTTGATGTGGTCAACAACCAACTAATAACTGGAAAAGTATCCAAGCCCAGTGTGCACCTACCTTGTAGAAGAGGTGGAGCCCTTGGCTGGAAGAGAAAAACAAAGCCAGTTATTTAACTTAGAAAGACACTTTTCTTACGTAACTTACTTTCCCCCCAGGAGGTTTGCCTGCAGGGACAAGCGGGGGAGAACTGGAAATCACATCCTTGGAGGCATCAGGAGACATCAAGGGGTGGTCCGCTATCCTCCACGGAGAAGGCCAGGGAGCAGCTGCTTTCTCACCACTGAGAGTGTGATGGGCCAGATCCCAAAGCCTCCTCCAGTCTGGGAGGGGCCAAGGGCCCTGCCTGTGTCTGGACCTCACTGCCATTCAGCCACAAACCACAAGGGAGGCCCTACAGCAAGCCCTGACTAAGACAGACTAGGAAGAAAGGCCTGGAGATCTACTGAAAAAAACACAGCCAATGAAAATCCAAGGGAGAACAATGGTATGCGTGGGGTTGCCAGGAGTCAGGGGACAATTCAATAGCAGGTAACAGCAGCAAGCCCAGCGCCCAGTCAGAGCCCTTCACACTGGGTAGCAGATTCCAGGGCCGGGAGTCAGGTATACCAGGCCAGAATCCTAGTTCTACCACCAACTCGCTGTGTGACCCTGGGTGGGTCATTTCTCCTCTGTGCTTGAATTTCACCTCTATAACTTGCAGGGTTGGGCTGATATCCATCTATCTCCATGTCACCACTTCCTGAAAAAGGATCTTAGGAGGAAAGAAAAGGCCCGTCTGGTTCAGAGGTTTTAAACTTGTGATATGGGGCACCCCACAGAGAAGCCTCTGGGGTTCAGCAGCTATTTGACTCCCATTTCACTGTAAAACTGTAATTAAAAAGCAACCTGCACACTCGAATGTGCTCTGCACCACATGCCATTAGGCTGGAGGCTGCCACAATGCAAGGATTCTTGCTGCCAGGTTAACACTCAGTGCCCAGGCAGGCACTGGATCTTAGTTGAGTGGGTTCCAGGTGGGAGGGCTGCAGCTCATCTAACCTCTGAACGGAGAAGATAAGTTCAAAGCACCGGGACACGTGTTGTCTCCAGGGAATCCAGTGATGGAACACCGGTCATCCCTATTTCACATGAGTGACTTGCCCAGAGGCACACAACTGGTAAGTGTTGGGGTTGCAATGAGGACATCCCATAGTGATACTGAGTGGGAGAGGATGGGTGGACCCCTCCAGAACCCAACAAGGAGAAAGGGTGCTTCGTTAGGGTGGAACTGGTAGGCAGAGTGGTCTCATGTACGGTTCCTGGACACCCGCTGCCTCGGTTTGAATCCTGGTTCCACCACTTAGCAGCTGTGAGGCCCCAAGCAAGTTTTACAGCTTTCCCATGGCTCAGTTTTGTCATCTGTAAAATGGGGTTAGTGATAGAGGTCTGTGGTGAGGACTAACTGAGTCACTACACACAAAGCTCTCTGGAACTGAGTGCCAGCTATTCGTTGCTGCCATTGGAGCCCGTGTCTGTCTGAGAGCCACTCTGGGGCAGGGTTTGCACCTCCAGCTCCCCAAGCTTCCACTCCTCTTCTGGAGCTCCAGGGCACTGCTGTCCAGCCCCGAGGTAAGGAGCTCACACACGTCAGGGGCCAGGGATGGATGGGCTCCAGAGAGAGGGGCTGAGATTTCACTAATGACTGCCATGAAGACTCCAAGAGACGGGCTGGCTTGTCATCCTGATGGACAAGGGACCCTGTTTCTCCATCCAAAGGAGTTGCCCCCTGCCCCAGTGTGGGGGCTCTTCAGGAACTTTAGGGGAACCACTGGGTGCATCTCCTACAAGGGGACATCTTGTAGATTCCAGCACTTAAGATGGGGCCTGACCCCAACCTTCGGAGATGCAAACGCCTGAGGCTCAGCCAGTGTCCAAGAGCAAAGAGTCCATCCAGCCATCCTAGGAGGGAGGGAAACTTGGGAGCACAGATGAAGGGGGTGAAGAAGGGATACATAACAGATGTGCCAACCTGCCCATCCAAGGGCCTAAGGTCAGCTCAGGACAGGCTTTCCCACTTTGCAGACTGTGGCATGCAGTGGATCACAACCAGCATTTTAAAAAGAAAATAATAGAATGTGATGAAAAGGAAAATCAATTTTCAATTTTACATATAGTTGGATTGTGTGTGTTCTGGTGAGATGGGAAATGTATTTCTCTCACAGTCAAAACCGTTTCAGGAATACTGACTAAGAACAGTCTCCTCCAAGCATGTGGGAGAGAACACACGCTCACTGAGATCTCAGTACGTGTCAGACCTGTTAATACACAGGAGCATATTTGGTTCTCAAAATTACCCTCTGAGGTAGGCACCGCTATACCCATTTTACAGATGAGAAAACTGAGGCCCGTGGAGGCCAAGGTGACTGTTCAGAGCATGTAGCAAAAGCCTGGAAACTTGGTTTGTGTGACTCCCAAATCAGAAGCCTTTCCATAGCAACAACGCCCTCCCACCCACCTCTCACACACACAGAAACAAGAGGATTTGAACCCATACCCTCCTGCTATACAGTCAAAGAGCACATGTCTTACAGTTGTGAGGGGAGCTCTCCAGGGAGACGGCCACTGCTTCTGGGCACATATGAAACAATCCTGATTCCCAAGCACTTTCACCCACAGTCAGCCATTTAGTCCTCCCAACAGCCTGAGAAGGTTGCCCTGGAGAGTCTGAGATATACACTTTCCTCCCAGAGACAGCTAAGCAGAGTTCCCTCCCATACCCTGGCCCCTCGGTAGGTGGTCCTGCAAAGACCTAAGGCTATTTTGCAACCATGAGGGGAAGGTCAAGGGAGTTACTGCCTTGAATTAACCTGGTGAAGCTGCTCCACCCACCCTGGCACTGCTACCTCTGGGCTTCCTGTTTCTTGAAATAACTGGATGTCCTCATGGGTTAAGCTCCTTGTAGTACAAAGCACCCTAGTGGCCTCATCCTCTGCAAGGACAGCCCAGGGCAAAACTACCAGGGAGCAGTGGAAATTCACGCACCTTTCTTCTGTCGGATTCGGAGGAGGTAGAGGGCTGCAATGAGCAGGGCGACCAGCAAGGCACATACCACGCCCACTGCAATAAAGATCTTCTTGTTCTGGTCAGGATCATCTAGGGATCGCACGGAATAGAGCCTTCATGGTTAGAATCAAAACAGAGACAATGAAAGCCCACCACCCCCCTTTCACCACTACACAGCCATCATTAGCAGAGAACATCTGGCTGGGCAGTCCCGGATATTCTGAGCCACATAGAGACACTGGGGGATCTGCACACACATCCCCACGTGGGCCGTTCACGGGCAGCACAGCAACGATGCTGAGGTTCCGGGACGGAAACCATTTGTTGCTGACAGCCATGGAGGAGCCCTGACTGAGGATGTGGACAGAAATCTCACCCCGAAGGGACAGAAACAGGTTCCGTCTCATCTGGAGGAAAGCACAGCACAGGCACCACGACAGGCAGCATAAAAGCATGCGGAACTCCGCATCAGCATCAGGTGGAAGGGAGGGAAGGGAAGGGGAGACGGGAGGGGAGTGGTGGGCGTATGCTGGTACCACCTGACTCCGCAGAGCGGTCAGGGCTGTCTACCAGGCTGGGCCTGGGACTTGGGCCATGCATACTTGGCTTAGGGGCCAGCTTAGGAGCCCTGAACCCAGGTGCCTGGAAACGGAGGACAGGGGGCTTAGCTCCTTGGCTGGCCCCAGGGCACAGGCTGGCCGTTCTAGATTAGTGCACAGTGGTTAGTCAGGAACAGGGCTCTGAGTCACAAAAACGTGGGCTCTAATCATTGCCATTCCTAGTTGTGTAACCTTGGGCAAGTCTTTTACCCTTCAACATCCTCTTGGTATTGGGGCCAATAATCATCTCTACCTCACTGGACAGTTCTGAGAACAAACAAACTAACCAATCAACCAACCAACCAACCAACTCTTTCATCCTTTCTAAAAGTGTTTATTGAGTGCCTGCTATGTGCTGGGCTGTTTGCCAGACCCTGAAGCTACAGTACTGAACAAGATAGTCATGATCTTCCAAGTTGAGACTCAGAGCTGGAGGAATCAGGAAACTCATCTCCTTCAACACTCTTGTGAGAAAATGGAGGCCCAGAGAGGTACACTTACTTGCCCAAAGTCACACAGCACTCTGTGATAGAGCCAGAGTACAGATCCACATATCCTGTTTCCCAGTGCAGTGCTCATCCCATGAAAACCAGGCATTGATGAAATCACAGGACCACCTTGATACGGCCCCATGGCTTTACACACTCCATTAGTAAATGAAAGTTTGGAGGTTCGAGTCCCCCCAGAGGTGCCTTGGAAGGCCTGGCAACATACTTCTAAAAAATGAGCCACTGGAAACCCTATGGGGCACAGTTCTACTGAGAGCCATGACGTTGCCACGAGTTGGAGTCAACAGCAACTAGTTTGGACTGGTTTCCTTTGAAGGATGCATTAAGAAATAGCCTAAAATCGAATCCATTCAAAGGTTCTTTTATAAACGAGACACTAGCCATGTGGATGGCAGGAAATGGACTATGCCACAGGGCAGTGAACCCCAGCTAGGTGCTGCCATTTTGAAGAAAGATGAAACATGCATCAATAAGAGGTTGGAAGGGGGATGAGACAAGGATACCCTGACACCTTCTTACTCTTCCAGGGGAGTGAATCAGTACAACCCTTTTAGGCCACATGCCAGCGTTATTGTCTTAAACAGATGAGCCCTTTGACCAGAAATGCTCCTTGGAGAATTCATCCCACAGGTATAGTTGCATGTGAGAGAGATATGTACAAAGATGCCCTTTGCAGCATTAATTGTATAAGCTGCAAACATCCTGAATGCACCCCCCATCCAGTGGAATGCTTGGATGAAACCTGGGACAGGCTTGCAGTGCAGTTAGGTAGCTGAAGCATAGGTCAGAAAGAACAAGGAGTGCTGTGGGCTGACACGGACTGGGGAATATGGCAACTGGTAGGTGAGGAAAGCAAGGGGCAGGAAGCTACAAACATTACAATATCTCTTCCTCCCATTTTCATTCCTACTCTTTGCCTTTACATCTTTCTTTAATGTATATTTATATAAAAACTTCCATAAAGATATATACCAAACGCTTACAGTTTAAAGCTCACTTTCAACTTCTGCTCTGTATTTACAAGTATCTAGATTACTCTAAAAGGAGTCCTGGTGGTGCAATGGTTAAGCGCTTGGCTGCGATTAGAAAGGTTGGGGGTTCGAACCCACCAGTCGCTCCATGGGGGAGAGATGTGGTGACCTGTTTCTGTACAGATTTACAGCCTTGCAAACCCTACGGGGCAGTTGTACTCCATCCTACAGGTTGCTGAGCTGGAATCGACTTGACAGCAATGAGTTTGGTTTGGGTTAGATTACTCTATAATAAATGAAGGAGCCCTGGTGGCACAAAAGTTAAGCCTTGGCTGTTAACCAAAAGGTCGGTGGTTTGAACCCACCCAAAGCCTCCACAGGAGAAAGCCTGGCAATCTGCTCCTGGAAAGATTATTGCCCAGAAAACTCCATGGGGCAGTTCTACTGTCATGTGGGATCATTATGTGTCAAAGTTGACTCGATGGCACCGAACAACAAGAGTGACTGACTATTTTAACATTAAAACAACAAAGACAAAATTAAGATACAATTTTAAAAAGAGCCAGGCGGGGTGGAGTGGAGGCCTCACCAGAGGTTGACTCTGTGCTGTGGTCCTTCGGGGGGGCAGTGACCTTCAGGGTCTGGTTTTTGGTGACTGCTGGCTGCCCGTCATGCACCACCTGGCAGGTGAGCACCACATCCTCCCTGTGGACAGATGAGTTCACCAGGGTCCAGCTCTTCAGGCTATAGGTCCCGTCCTTGTCCTCGGTGGGGACCAAGGCTGAATCTGTTCGGGACACATTTCCATTCTCCAACCAGGTCAGCTGTAGGTTCTTGGGGTAGAACTTCTTCACCTGGCAGGTGACGTTCACCTGGTTCCCTTCAATGGGGAGATGGGTAACCTCCAAGGTGGGCGGAACTGAAACAGCACAGAGCAGAAGCTCTGAGCTTATGGAACAGACAGATAACAGAGAGGGGGCTTGATAACGGTTAGTTCTCACCATCATGGCAAAGGAATCACCGAGGACAGTGCTAGGCATGCACAGGTCTTCAAACAATGGACAACCTCTTTGCATAATGAATGAAATCACTAGGTGCAGTGCTTGGCACCCAGTAGGTGCTCAAGGACTGACAGCTCCTATTAGGGCAATAACAAATGAAATCAACACGCACAATGCCTTGCATGCAATGGGAATGTAATAACTGTAGTAAAATAAAATCACCAAGCACATAGGGGCTTAGCAAGTAGTCACTGCCATTGCTAGAATAAATGAAACTACCTAGCACTGTGCTTGGTACGTGGAAGGTGTTCAGCTGGAGGGCTGAGCAGCATGGCTGACACGGAAGGAACTCTGGTGGTGTACTGGTTAAAGCATTTGGCTGCTAACCAAAAGCTTAGTGGTTCACACCCACCAGTGGCTCCGCAGGAGAAAGGTGCAGCAGTCAGCTTCCATCAAGATTTACAGCCTTGAAAATCCTATGGGGCAGTTCTACTCCATTCTATAGGGTTGTTATGAGTCGGAATCAACTCCATGGGAGTTTGGTTTTTGGCATTAGGAACTGGATTCCAGGCAGGACAAGCCCTGGAGCAAACCTGGGGGGAGCAGGCTTGGAGCCAGGTGAGGGTCTGAGTTGAGTGTGAGTGTCATCTACCTCGAATGGTGTCAGACAAGTTGGCCGTCCCACGAAGAGAACCCTGCAAGGTAGTGTGGGCCACCTCGCAGATGACCTGAGAGTGGACGTCATCTGAGGTCAGCAACACCTGAGTCCTGCTGGAGATGTTGTAGGAGACACTGTTGTCTGGTGGGACCACCTTGGTCTGGAGGGCTGGGAGCTCATTCCCATTTTTGAACCACTTCAGGGTGACATCTCTGGGGGAGAAGCCGTGAGACTCGCAGGTGAAGCTCACTGTCTGCCCAGGTGTGGTCCTCGCCGAGGGGCCCGATACCACGGGGGCAGAGGGCTTGGCTACAAGAAGGAGCATTTATAAGCAATCATCATCACTGCACTGTCACTGTGAACGACAAGCGTGTGACACTGTCCAGACTCTTTGTGCACATTACTCTAATCCTGCTGATAACACTGGGAGGGAGGGTCACTGTCCTCATCACAGAGTACTGTCCTCATCCCACAGGTGAAGGGACCCAACAAGGGCAGACAGTGAGTGGAGGGGCCGACAAGGAAGTCTAGGCCTGAGTCTAAAAACATTCACCTTCTTTTCTCTGCACCAGGTGATTCCCCACCAATCTCGGCACCAGAACAAAATTACTCATCAGTCTCTCTCTTTGTATTAACCATTCCTTTCTGACCTCACCCACAAGCCTTCCCATTTATAGAAGTAAACATAGGTGAGGAAGTGCCAGAGTGGGACCAGCATAAAAGTGGGCCCTAGGCTGTCCAGCCCAATGGTGGTGTGGTCGCAGCTTCCCCATCTGTAAAATGGGACCATAAGCATTCTCCTCCCAGGGCTGGTGAGGATCAACTGAGGCCATGGCAGCGTTCCTGCTCTGGACCAACCACAGAAGATGCCTAACAGAAATGAACAAAGGCAGACCTGTCTTTAACCCAGACTTTGTTTGCATCCAGAGCTCCCTCTCCTGCAGGTATTTATTGATTATTCCATAATTTTCACTCTTCCCACCAATATTCCCAGAGGGCCTAATCTGTGCCAGCCCAGAAATTGAAAGGAGGGGCAGGAGAATGTTTCTCTGAACCTGGGGTCTTCCTTTGGGTGGAAAATGGAGATCACAGAGTGCTGACAAAGCACAAAGAGGGTAATTTGTTAATTGTTAATTAAAGAGACAGAAGCGAGGAGACAGCCCAGAAGCACTTCCGGTGTCCTGAAAGCATCCAGAAATCTGAGAATCAGAAGGGCAGTGCCTTCCTGTGGGCGGGTCCTAACAGGGCGCCTCTGGGGTCTGCAGGTTGTGAACTATTACCCGAATTTCTGCCACCAGCAAGTAATACACATATTTGCATTTGTGAATATTTAACTTGCCTCCAAACACCCCTGGAACATTTTAGGGCATAGTAGGGAGAGTGACCAGTGATCCCTTCAGCCCCTCAGCTCTTTCACCCCTCCCCAGTCCTCCAGCCCTGTGCATGACAGTGACCCACATTTATTGGATGGGCTCAGAGAGGTGTGTGCTGGCTAAGGACACACAGTGGTCATGGCAGAGCTCACCCCACACAACAGCGGATTAATTTTAGCGTCTCTGGGCTTTATCTTTCAGAGGCTCAGTGTGTTTATGTAAAAAGTAGATGAAAATACCAACATGGTAAGATTAGAGCTGGTGCCTGAACAACACAAAGCCTGGTGTGAAGTAGGTGCTCAATAAATAATATGTATTATCGAGACCATGAAATCTGGTCCTTACAAGCTCCAAAACTACAGTTACTCTTTAGGCAGTAAGAAGGCAAAATAAAAGCACTGAGGGAACACCACAGAATCCCAAATCCTGCTCCCTGTCGTGGACACACACACACACACACACACACACACACAAAACAAAAATTAAACCCAAGTGAAAAAAGCTATAGAAATCACCAAATCATAATTCTCCCTTTTTAAATAATCCCCTCAGGAAGCAAGTTTGGCGGATGGGTTTTCAAAACACAAACAAGATCAGAGGCGTTTTCCTCCGGATCAGGTCTTTACAGAAGCTGGAAGCATTCCAAGAAGCCCGGGGAGCAGAATTGTCAGTGACGTTGTGTGTGTGTGACGCGGAGGGGGTAAGAGGGTGTGAGGCAGGGAGGGTTCTGTGGCCGAACAGCCAGCGTTTGTTGAAATTCCGGCGCCTGTTGAGACGCGAACATGTTTAAAGATGGGAAGGTTCCCTGGCCGCGAGCTCACATCTGAACTCAGCTTTGTCTGGGCTTCCCCTCTTGGTGGACAGAGAGGGTGGGGCCCCTTCTCAGCCCTGGGGGCATGTCCATGGGTAGGGTGTTCATGCCACACCCTTCGCCTCCCCAAAAGCTGTCACTGACACGTGCTATTCTAAAGCGGCCACAGCCTGAAAGCTGCTCTGAAGCCCCAGATCCATGGGAACCTCCCTTGTTAGGAAAAAAAAATATAACTTTTCTTCTGCAAACCGCAGAGAACCCGTGGCTCAGGGGCTCTCAGCCCTGGCTGCATGTTAGAATCATCTGGAGTAATTAAACAATGAAGATGCCCAGGCAAACGCCAGACCAATTAAATCAGAATTTCTAGGGTGGGCCTGGGTCTTAGGATTTTCCCCAAGTTCCCCAGGTGATTATACTGAGCAGCCAAGGCTGAAACCACTAAGCTAGTAAACCCTCACCCCCAAACTCCATTTATACTTGCGTCCTAGAGAGGAAACGGGCCCTGTCCAAGGTCAGATGGCTTTGGCATAAGGTTTGTAACTGACACTTGAGTGTTGACTAAGTGGTGAGCCCTGTTCTAAGCACTTTAGCTCAGGTGTTAACCCCTCCAACCTTGCAGCCTCTCTGGGGGTGGGAATTAGCACTGACAGATGAGGACACTGAGGTCCAGGTGCAAGGTGTCTGAGGTCGCATCCAGGAAGTGGCAGAGCTGGGATTTAAACCCAGATAGTCTGGTTCAAACCCACCAGCCACTCCTCGGAAGGAAGGTTGGGCAATCCTACTTCCGTAGTGATACTGCCTCGGAAACCCAAGGAG